CGCTGTAGTGGGTGGTGGCTGACGAGTGCGGGCGGTGGGTAGTGGCTGATGCATGCGAGCAATGCCACTGGGGCCTTCGGTGGAGCTCCCTATAGGGCCACGACACGCTGTACTGGGTGGTGGCTGGCGCGTGCGGGCGGTGGGTGGTGGGGCCTTCAGTGGAACCCCCCATGGGGCCACGAAGCGCTGTGCTGTGGTGGTTGACGCACGCGGGCGGTCCCACTGGGACCCTCGGTGGAGGTCCATATGGGGCCACGAAGCGCTGTACTGTGCTGGGTGGTGGTTGACGCACGCGGGCGGTCCCACTGGGACCTTCGGTGGAGCTCCTTATGGGGCCACGAAGCGCTCTGCTGGGTGGGTGGAACGCAGGGAGGAAGGGCTGTGCTGGGTGGTCGCTGGCGCATGCGGGCGGTCCCACTGGGACCTTCGGTGGAGCACCCTATGGGGCCACGAAGCGCTGTACTAGGTGGGCGAAACGCAGGGAGGAATGGCCGTGCTGGGCGGTGGTTGGCGCACGCGGGCGCTTGACGGCAGGAGGGAGGAAGGAGGGGACGAGGGAGGAGGAAGGAACGCGGGGACCGTCTCTTCAAAACGAGGACCCAACACAACAGGATGGGTGGGAAATAATTGTCCAAATGATATATCGTATTTTGAGTGGCCTTTTTCTCGCGGCTGGGCCCTCCCGCCCAGGTGTCGGGAGCGCCCAGATGGGTTTTCACCCTGGGACCTCCCTCACTGCAAAACGGCGCTCTCGGCGATTGCACCCGAGCCCTAAAAATTCAGATCTTCGGAATGAAATATTTTAGTTGCGAGCCTTTTTCTCGCGGCTGCCCCCCCCGCCCAGTGTCGGAAGCGCCCAAATGGATTTTCACCCCGGAACCGTTCCAGGATACAAATAAATCTGGGATCTCCCCCAATGCAACGCGGCGCTCCCAGGGACAGGTGGGGGATGTACCCGAGCCCCGAAAATGTAAATTATCCAAATGAATGTGTTTTATTTGGGGGCTTTTGTCTCACGGCCGAGCCCTCCCGCCCTGTTGTCGGGAGCGCCGACATTGATTTTCACCCCGGAACCGTTCCAGGGTGAAAATCCATTTGCGGCCCCCCCAAAGCAAAACGGCTGTTTCGGGGATCGTGGGGGAATACCCGAACCCCAAACATTATCATTTACCAACTGAACAATCTCACTGGGGAACCAAATTCGCGCGTGTGGGCCCTCCCGCCTGGTGCCGGGAGCGCCCACATGGACTGTCATGCTGGAGCCGTTCCTGGGTGAAAACCCACTTGTGCCCCAACAGTGCAAAACAGCGCTTTCGGGGATACGGGGGGGGGTGTACCCGAACCAGAAAAATATCCCGGCAAAGCAACCTAACAGCGATGTGTAGGAGCATATCTGGAAGCATTCCCCTAAGATTCAGATGAGAATCCAGTTTTAGAATTCTGCTGTTCTCGCAGTCGTAGTCGCATTCGCGATGACAGTCGCAGTGGCAACGGCAGTCGCAGTCACAGCCTCAGCCTCAGCCTGCCTCAGCCTCAGCCTCAGCCTGCCTCAGCCTCAGCCTGCCTCAGCCTCAGCCTCAGCCTGCTTCAGCCTCAGCCTCAGTCTGCCTTCAGCCTCGGCCTCAGCCTCAGCCTGCCTCAGCCTCAGCCTGCATCCTCAGCCTCAGCCTCAGCCTGCAGCCTCAGCCTCAGCCTCAGCCTCAGCCTCAGCCTGCCTCTGCCTCAGCCTCAGCCTGCTTCAGCCTCAGCCTCAGTCTGCCGTCGGCCTCGGCCTCAGCCTCAGCCTGCCTCAGCCTCAGCATGCATCAGCCTCAGCCTCAGCCTCAGCCTCGCCTCAGCCTCAGCCTCAGCCTCAGCCTCAGCCTCAGCCTCAGCCTCAGCCTCAGCCTGCTTCAGCCTCAGCCTCAGTCTGCCTCAGCCTCGGCCTCAGCCTCAGCCTGCCTCAGCCTCAGCCTGCCTCAGCCTCAGCCTCAGCCTCAGCCTGCCTCAGCCTGCCTCAGCCTCAGCCTGCCTCAGCCTCAGCCTCCTCAGCCTCAGCCTCAGCCCTCAGCCTCAGCCTCAGCCTGCCTTCAGCCTCAGCCTCAGTCTGCCTTCAGCCTCGGCCTCAGCCTCAGCCTGCCTCAGCCTCAGCCTGCATCAGCCTCAGCCTCAGCCTCAGCCTGCCTCAGCATCAGCCTGCCTCAGCCTCAGCCTCAGCCTGCCTCAGCCTCAGCCTCAGCCTGCCTTCAGCCTCAGCCTCAGTCTGCCTTCAGCCTCGGCCTCAGCCTCAGCCTGCCTCAGCCTCAGCCTGCATCAGCCTCAGCCTCAGCCTCAGCCTGCCTCAGCCTCAGCCTCAGCCTCAGCCTCAGCCTCCTCAGCCTCAGCCTGCTTCAGCCTCAGCCTCAGTCTGCCTTCAGCCTCGGCCTCAGCCTCAGCCTGCCTCAGCCTCAGCCTCAGCCTCAGCCTGCCTCAGCCTCAGCCTGCCTCAGCCTCAGCCTCAGCCTGCCTCAGCCTCAGCCTGCCTCAGCCTCAGCCTCAGCCTGCCTGCCTCAGCCTCAGCCTGCCTTCAGCCTCAGCCTCAGTCCCAGCCTCGGCCTCAGCCTCAGCCTCAGCCAGCAGCCTCAGCCTCAGCCTCAGCCTCAGCCTCAGCCTCAGCCTCAGCCTCTGGCCTCAGCCTCAGCCTGCCTCAGCCTCAGCCTCCAGCCTCAGCCTCAGCCTGCCTCAGCCAGCCTGCAGCCTTCAGCCTCAGCCTCAGCCTCAAGCCTGGCCTCAAAGGGCCTGCCTCAGCCTCAGTCAGCCTCAGGCCTGCCTCAGTATTCAAAATGTGGCCCGGGAATGGAGTTCTGGGAACTCGAAGAACACGAAGTGGCCTACAGTTGGCTCCGGGCATTTAAAATCATGCCCAGGAATGGAGTTCTGGTAAGCCGAAGACCACGAAGTGGCCTACAGTTGGCTCCGGGCATTCAAAATCATGCCCAGGAATGGAATTCTGGGAACTCGAAGACCGCGAAGTGGCCTACAGTTGGCTCCGAGCATTCAAAATCATGCCCAGGAATGGAGTTCTGGGAATTCGAAGACCGCGAAGTGGCCTACAGTTGGCTCCGGGCATTCAAAATCATGCCAAGGAATGGAGTTCTGGGACCTCGAAGACCACGAAGTGTGTAATTGTTTGCTTAAAACGACTTCCGCGGGTTCTCCCCGGCACCCGCCCAGACCCCCCTGGGGAGTCAAGATGCTATGCTCTCTTTTGACACTACTAGAAACCTATCAGTCTTCGCTGTTAGGTAATTACACGTTTCCACAAGAAATCTCTTATTGGGGAGGCCTTTCCCGCGGCTGGGCGCCCTCGCTGTTTTGGAGCGCCCCAGATGGATTTTCACCCCAGACCCGCTCCAGGGTGAAAATCCATCTGAGATTCCCCCACTGCAAAACGGCGCTCTCGGGAATAGGGTGGGCTCCCAAATTACCATTGTCCACATGAAATCTCTCATTGGGGAGCCTTTTTCTCGCGGCTGGGCACCCTCGCCATTTCGGAGCGCCCCAAATGAATTTTCACCCCGGGACCGCTCCAGGGTGAAGACCCATCTGGCCTCCATTGCACAACGGTGCTCTCGGGGATAGGGTGGGAGCACCCGAGCCCCCCCAAAAAAACAGGTTCCACATGAGATCTCTTAGTGGGGAGCGTGTTTCTCGCGGCTGGGCACCCTCACCGTTTCGGAGCGCTCCAGATGGATTTTCACCCCGGAACCGCTCCAGGGTTAAAATCCATTTAGGGCGCTCTCGGGGAGTTGCAAGGAGCTCGGTGAAGGTTAGCAAGGCCTTCTGTAAGCAGCCCAACAAGAGCTTCTGTAAGGAGCCCAAACAAGCCTTCTGCAAGGAGCGAGCAAGGCTTTCTGCAAGGAGCTCACTAAGGCCTTCTGTAAGAAGCCCAAAAAGGCCTCCTGTAAGGAGCCCAATAAGGCCTTCTGGAAGGGGTTCCGTGAGGCCCTCTGCAGGGAGCTTGGTAAGGCCCTTCTGCAAGGAGCCTAATGAGGCCCTTCTCGGAAAATTTCCAGAAGAAACATCAGATGGTTTTCACCCCGGAACCGTTCCAGGGTGATTCTGGAACTGGAAACGGTGAGCTTCAAGCTACTAGGATCACTTCGGAACCGTTCCAAGTGATCCCAGAACCTGAAACGTTTGATTTTGTGGTAACAGATGCAACAACAAACAACAGCAAACACATAGTCACGGGACACACCAGGCCATAGGGGCAACCATCATAAAGATCGCACTCCGCAATTTGCTGTAAAGAGACACGGAGCACCACACAACATCAAACGCCACTATGTGGCGAATGGATCGGAGACTTACCACATGGAGCGAGAGGGCACCACATGGGCAAGAAGTTCCTCAGCACCACAAGAGAAACAGATCCGACACTGCACCACACGGGCAACCGGCGCGACACGGCGCCTCACGGCACGACACAGGCGACAAACTCGACACAACACCACGGGCAACGGGCCGGACAAAGCACGGGCAACGTGTTTCACACGGCACCACACGGCACCCCACGAGCCATGGGTTGGATGCGGCACCACACGGCGCCGCACAGCACCACACGGCACCGAACAGGCAACGCGTCCGACACAGCACTACACAACACCACATGGGCAACGGGCCCGACACACCCGCATACGGTGCACAAGTGAAAGATGGGGTAAACGGGCTGCATGGGGCACACGGTTCACAGAAGGCACACCGAGCCCAAAAATCTGTACCAAGCGGGGTCCCCCCTCACACGCGGAGGCTCATCGAGCCCAGAAAGTAATGAAACAGACCCCATGCCACCCCTTTGTGCAGTAATGCAGGGCTCGACGGTACTCGTGGTTTACGGAACCTCGGGAGCCTCTTCCTTCGAGGTATGTTGCACCCTGGTTTTGTCGAAACGTCGTGTGGCGAACTCCACACACCCGCGGCGTGGAGGGGCGCTCCCGTCAGCGGTTTCACTGTAGGACCCCCGTTTCTGGCTCCGCCACCTGGAGTGACTGCATCAAACAGTTCAGGAGCAGCCACCAGCGGAGCGGCCGGTCGCAGTGACCCCACGGCACCCAGTACATGCAGAGCATCACCACAGAAACAACAAATGCGAACGCGCTGGTCAGACCTCCCATCAGCATAGTCGCCTTGAGGAAACGTGACGCCATGGCAGGGTCACGATGCGCCATGTCCAGGATGGGATCATTGTTGGCGTCTCCTTCGCCAAAGAACTCCTGGATCGCTCGAGCTGGTGCCTGGAATGGGTTCATATCACCGAGTGCTTCTGCTAGGCCCGACCCATCTAGGCCAGAGGCCATGGCGGAACCCAGAGGGGGCGCCGCTTGAGACAAATATGTTCGCAGTCATGCAGGCTGGTTGGTAGATGGAGGAACGCTGGCGATCAAAACCTGTCGTCGTCGTGTCTGTCGCGGTGTTCCGATCAAGAGCCGAGTGCGCCGAAAAGGGGCCAAGAAGTGGAGGGTTAGCGCATCATGGCCCGAAGCATATGCGCGGACGAGGGGGAGGCCAGGGGGCGCATTGAAAGGAAAAGGGGCCATGGAATTTGAGCGGTGTCATGGCCCTGGCCATTGTATCCACACACACACACACCCCTAATCCTCATCCCCCCTCTGCGACGTTCCCGAGATAGAGAGAGAGAGAGAGAGACAAAGAGAGGAACTGCCTGAGGCGAGCGGGACCAAACAAATATTTCCACGCGACTGGTAATGTGCTAGGTCTCGTGCAATTAATTGTCAAGGATATGTGCCGTTGAGATTTCCTGGGCATCGACGTCTTTGTACCATGACCTGATGCATGTGACATCTCTGGGGGACAGAAGATGCTTACACTCGAACGCGCGCTGAACTCGATGCTCCCTCATACTGTCAGGGTCTCCCACGCTGTCCGGAGCCTTCTTGTAAGCCTTCGCAGGGAACGAGGTAACAAACAATGAGAGAGCGATCATCGCAATTGAAGAGCACAGCGAACACGGAGCCGAAACGTTGCGAGATCGCCGTCCTCTTGTGCGAGCGGTGCCATCTCAGAACCACCCCCATCCCTGGCTATCCCCAAGATGTTCTTGAAAACGATGCTCGAGCGGCTGACGGGCTGGAGCCTCAGCAGCAAGCAGCTTGCTCATATAGAGGCCTCCTAGATGTAATCCGAGTCGAGCAGATGGGGTCGGAGGATCGCGCCGCATCGCCGATGCATCGGCGACGTCGGCAATGCATCAGCGCCGTCGGCGTGGAGAATTTATGGGTCCACATCGAGCCGCATGCGGCGCGATCCTCTGACCTCCGACCCCATTTACTCCGACCCCATCTGGGAGGCCTAGCCATGCTGGGGAGGCCACCACCGTGGGCCGAAGCAGCGTGGCCTCCGCTGCTTGCTCCCCTGCTCCCGTGCTCCCCCCGTTTGGTGTTTTCCAGCGCTGCTGACAACACACATGCGCGCGAAAGCGGCGCCTTTCAGAATGGGCGCTTCTGGGCTGCCCCCGGCAGGCGATATCACGCATCAATGTCCCCTCCCCCGGCTGCACTCGGCCCCAAGAGTCGAGATATTGGCCATGTGGCGGGTTCCGAAAGCCCCGAACCATCAGCCTGGCGAACGACCTAACCATATGCAGTTGTGAATACCGTCCTCGTGAGTAACGCATTCGGTGGAGGTCCCTATGGGGCCACGAAGCGCTGTCTTGGGCGGGGGAAAAGCATGTGAGTGCAGCCACTGGGGCTTTAGGGTGGAGCTCCCCATGGGGCCACGAAGCGTTGTCCTAGGTGGGGGAGAAGCAAGCGAGTGCAGCCACTGGGGCCTTAGGTGGAGCTCCCTATGGGGCCGCGAAGCGCTGTGCTGGGCGGGGGAGACGCATGCATACTCCGCCACTGGGGCCTTAGGTGGGGCTCCCAGAGGGGCCGCGAAACGTTGTTTGGGGGGGAGACGCATGCAGACTCCGCCACTTGGGCCTTAGGTGGGGCTCCCAGAGGGCCGCGAAACGCTGTCTTGGGCGGGGGAGACGCATTCGAACACCGCCACTGGAGCCTGTGGTGGGGTTTCCGATGGGGCCGCGAAACGCTGCGCTGGGTGGGTGAGACGCATGCGAGCACCGCCATTGTGGCCTTAGGTGGGGCTCCCTCTGGGGCTGCGAAACGTTATGCTGGGTGGGTGACACGCATGCGAACACCGCCACTGGGGCCTGCGGTGGAGACCCCCGTGGGGCAGCGAAACGCTGTACTGGGTGGGGGAGACGCAAACGAACACCGCCATTGTGGCCTTAGGTGGAGCTCCCTATGGGACGCATGCGAACACCGCCACTGGGCCTTAGGTAGGGCTCCCTATGGGGCCACGAGGCGATGTGCTGGGTGGGGGAGACGCATCCGAACACCGCCACTGGGGCATTCGGTAGAGCTCCTTATGGGGCCGCGAAGCGCTGTGCTGGGTGGGGGAAACACAAACGAGTGCAGCCACTGGGGCCTTAGGTGGAGCTCGTTAAGGGGACACGAAACGTTCTGGTGGGTGGGGGAGACGCATGCGTACTCCGCCACTGGGGCCTTAGGTGGGGCTCCGTATGAGGGCACGTAGCGCTGTGCTGGGTGGGGGACACGCAAGCGAACACCGCCACCGGGGCATTTGGCGGAGCTCCCTGTGGGGCAGCGACACGCTGTGCTGGGTGGGGGAGACGCATGCGAACACCGCCACTGGGGCCTTCGGTGGAGCTCCCTATGGGGCCACGAGGCGATGTGCTGGGTGGGGGAGACGCATGCGTACTCCGCCACTGGGGCCTTACGTGGAGTTCGCTATGGGGGCCGCGAAACGCTGTACTGGGCGGTGGAGCTCCCTATTGGGCCACGAACGCTGTGCTGGGTTGGGGAGACGCATGCGAACACCGCCACTGGGACCTTAGGTGGGGCTCCCTGTGGGGCCACGAAACGCTGTACTGGGTGGGGGAGACGCATGCGAACACCGCCATTGAGGCCTCAGGTGGAGTTCCCTATGGGGCCATGCTGATGATGATGATGATGATGATGATGATGATGATGATGATGATGATGATGATGATGATGATGGTGCTGATTATGATAATGGTGATTCATGATGATGCTGATGCTGATGTTGATGCTGATGATGGTGATGGTGATGGTGATGGTGATGGTGATGGTGATGGTGATGGTGATGATGATGATGATGATGATGATGATGATGATGATGATGATGATGATGATGATGATGATGATGATGATGATGATGATGATGATGATGATGGCGGGGGCGACGAGGAGGGCAGAGGAAGGAAGGAAGGAAGGAATGCGGGAAACGAGGACTCATTACCACAGGATGGTTGGGAAAAACCTTGCCATCTCTTCGGGGGCCGAATTTTACATCCGCCGGCTTCTGCAGGCCTTCCGCCGGCGGAGGCGCCCTCGTTTTACTTCCGCCGCCCTTCCCCGCCTTCAGCCGAGGAAGAGACCGCAACTCCATCGATCCTCGAGAGCAAGGCCCTTTCTGCATTCCACCATGTCCCTCTGTGCATCCGCCCTCTGCGATGACAGAGATGCGGATGAGCTGTGCGCGGATAGAGTGTTCGCCGGAGGGAAGGGTAAGCTTTAGGGAAGCACAACTGGAATGGGCAGCCGAGGACCCCTAACGCCTCTGGCGTCTTACGAAACTTTACTGGGCACGGAGAGCCAAGGCAACACGCAGGGAGGTATGGGGGCTCTCGACGCCCCGGCAGTCCAAAGCCGATCCAGGATAATCCACGCAAATAGTTGCGGCGGAGTAGAAGGCCGAAAGGTCGACTTGCCGGACTCGACAGCCCTGACCAGCTTCGTCCGCCCCCTTCCCTGCCCAACTCCACCTCCGCCGCCTCATCCTACTCCTCCTCCTCCTCCTCCTGCTCCTTTTCCTTTGCCTCCTCTTCTCCCCCGACATGTCTCCGCCTCTTATCTCCTACTGCTTTTATAAATATTCCTATTTCTCCTTCTCTTCCTCCTCCTCCTTCTCCACCTCCTCCGTCTGCTCCCTCTTCCCCTATTCCTCCTTCCCCAGCTCCTCCGCCTTGTTTTCATCTTCCTCCTCCTCCTCCTCCTCCTCCTCCTCCTCCTCCTCCTCCTCCGCCTCCGCGGTATCCTGGTCCTGCTCGTCGAGCTCTTCCTTTTTGCTCCTCGTCTTCTCCCTTCTCTCCCCCTCGTCCTCGTCTTCCTCTCCTTCCTCCTCCTCCTCCTGCTTGCCCATAAGCTTTCTGGCCGTGAAGCACGTAATGGCAGGGGCGATCCCGGCGCTCCCAGGGAGCGCGCGACTTGGCACGGCTCCTGGCACGCGTTCTGGGGCTTGAAGCATCGACTGGACGCTCAGACCCCAATGCTCGGAAGAGGAGGAGTCCTGACCATGCACGTGTAACTCAAGGTGCGGGGCCCTCAGAGAATGGGGATGCAGGACTCGCCGAAATCGGCGATCAGGGCAGCAGTGAAGGCCACGATTAAGCCCCCAGAGGTGGTCAAGAGGTCCCTGGAGGCCCCCCAAAGGCCACAAATATGTTCAAGAGGCACCTAAGAGGCCCCAAGAGGCATCCAATAGGTCGCAGGAGGCATCTCAAGAGACCCCAAGAGGCATCCAAGAGGACTCTGGCTCACAACCCAAACACGGTGGTGGGATGGGCCGAAGGCCACTCGATGGCTTGAAGCGGGTTCTCCCTAAGACAGTTCCAAAGAAGGCGGCCTCCAGAGGCTCAGGGCCAAGACGCCACCAAAGTCGTCCCAAATTATTCCGAGTAGGCCCCACGATGCTCCCAATAGTCTCCAAGATGCTCCCACACCAGATATTGCGGATGGGTGGCCCCGAACGCCCCATGATATCCCACAGGGGCTCCCAGATGGCCCGAGGAAATTCCCAGGTGTTTTGAGGATCATCTCAAAATGGCTCCGCCTTAGGAAGCGGCGGCAGAGGGAGCAGCACTTGCTTCAGATATATAGAGGAGGGGGAGGAAGATCTGGCCTGTCGAAACTAGCCGTGCAACTCCGAACTTCGTCTGGACGCTAGGATGTCTCTATCCAGGAAGATTCGCCCCGAGTCGGTCGGCATGGCATTCGCCTGCCAAAGGCAACACACCGACAGGTGGTTTAAAAATACTTAATGGGCACCTCCAGGAACCTACTCGGCTCTACGACAGGATTTTGTATTTCCACAGATTCTGTGGTAGTCCGCCGCCCTCGCTCGGATTACGCCCGCGGGGGGCGACTGGCGGGATCTACGAGAGGAAAAACGAGACAGCTGCATCGCCAGCAAACGCTGGCATCCGACAGTGGCCGACCTCCCAACGAGTGAGGTCCTCACAGCCTTGACGACACTGTCAGACGCACCCCTTCGCCAATATTTCCCACCAGCGCATGTAAGACGCATGATGGCAACCAGCACGAGCGAATCGCTCGCCCTCAAGATTGTCAATGAGCGAATTATGCAGACATTGTGAAGTCAACGCCTTCAATCTTGTCCTCGCACTCCTGGTAAACTTGCTGCAGGCGCTCCAGATTCTCCTCGCTAGTCTCCCAATAACCCTTCTGGTTAGCCTCTAGGAAGGTAGTGATCATCTCGCGGAGTGCCTCTGGGTTCTTATCCATCATCCGCTTCCGAATGTCCTCGTCTGCAATGTAAGTATCGTTAGCATCCTCGTAGACGAAATTGTCCACAGCGCCCGCTGTGGTGCTCCAGCCGTACGTGTAGCGCAGGCGCTTGGTAATCTCTCGCACGCCTTCGTACCCGCTCTTGAGGGCCGCCTCGTAGAATTTCGGGTTCAGAAGCTTCGTGCGCGAGTCCAGGCGCACCTGCGCGGACAGCGAGCGCACCTGTGCGTTGGCAGAGGTGGTGTCGGCGATGAAAGCAGACGGCTTCTTGCCATCATCACGGAGGTTCTCGACCACCTTGGTCGGGTCGTTGTCGAAATTCGCCAGCCCCCTTGGGGGCGCCAGGCTATGATAGATGCTCCTGGACTGCTGTTTTGCCTTCTTTGTATTGCATTTTGTTTGTTGTGTCTTGTCTCTCCAGTCCTACCTCCACTGGGCTGTCTACTAGGCGCCCCGCCCACCCCAAACAAGCCACCTGGAGGAGGTGTTACTCAAACTCCTGGTAGCTCTAGGTTGCCCCAGGACTCCGATTGGACGCCACCCAAGTATGGCCCAAGAGGCATTGAAGACGACCTCCGGATGCTCTGAAGAAGTCTTCAAGTATCCAAGACGGCAGAAGATGGCCCCAAGATGCCTCTAAAACTGTCCAGGAGGGCCACCAGACGTCCACGAGATGCTTTCAGCGATTTTTGACTATCCCACGTTTTGCTCCCAAGACGCGGCCCCAAAAGGCACCAAGATGCCGCCCAAAGTGCCAAATTGCCAAGGATGGCCGGACACTGCCCCAAGATGGCCCGAAGATGGCCCCTGAAACCCCAAGATACCCCATGATGGTATAAAAACCGTTCCACCATAGCCACAGGATGAGTCAGCATGGGGGCCGGCGGCAGAAGGCGCAGCCCTTCGGATAATGGGACACGTCCGTCAGAGAGATTTCGCTGCTGTCCAGATTCTGGAAGGTGATGTCCACCTTCTTCAGGGAGGATTTGAACAGCTCCGTGGACTCCGTCAACTCCCCGGGTGCATCGGCGCTGAGGGCGAAACCCTTACGAGTCAGGAACTGCTCCTGCAGCTGCGACTCGTCGATGTTCCCGCCATTCTCAACGGCGATGCCCACGTTCGCCGAGTATGAGCCAGCCGCGTTGGAGAACACGCGGGTGGCGGCTTGGCGCAGCGAGATGCCCAGCTCGTCTGCCTGCTCTAACGCGTGCTTGCGCACAAAGTTCTGCTCGATGGGCTCGTCGGCCTCGGCCGCCATCTTGATGCCGCGGTCCAGCAGGTTCATCTGGTTTATGAAAAGGTCGCGGAAGACACCCGAGCAGTTGCACACGACGTCAATGCGAGGGCGGCCCAGTTCTTCCAGCGGGATAAGCTCAACCTTGTTCACGCGACCCAGGCTGTCCGGCACCGGCCTGCAACCGACCAGCGCCAGAACCTGCGCGAGACTCTCGCCGTACGTCTTGATGTTGTCGGTGCCCCACAGCGTGAAGGCGATGGACTCGGGAAACTCGCCCTGCTTCTCGAGACCCTCGAGCAAACGATTTACCACGATCAGGCCCGTGTCCGCTGCCGCCTTGGTGGGGATCGACTGGGGGTCCAACGCATGCATGTTCTTGCCGGTGGGCAGCACGTCGGGGTTCCTGATTGGATCGCCGCCAGGGCCGGGCTCTATAAACTTGCCGTCGAGGCCGGAGAGGAGGCCGGGCAGCTCGTTGTTGCAGACCACCTCTCCCAAGCACGCCTGCAAGTACTCGAAGAGCGGCTTCAAGTCATCCTCGCGGGCATCGGGGAAGCCTGCTTCGGACGCCGCCTTCTTCCACGGCGAACCGCCGCCGAAGAAGTTGAAGACGTCGCGCAGCACAGGGTTGGGCTTCTCCACGCGGCCTTCCGAGTTGGTTGACTCGCTGACCAGCGCCCGGACCGCTGCCCGGCTTGCCTCGACGATCTGCTGTAGCCTGGTGACGTCCTCGAAGACACCAGCGTCGGAGTTGCGGTAGACCGTCTCGACGTCCATGCCCACGGACTCGGCGAGAATGCGTGGCAAGCTCTTGATGGGTGGGCTGCTGTCCGGGCGATCCAGCTGCGCGATGTTAACAAGGGTTGCCACGCTTTCCTCAGCCGTGGGCGGCACGCCGATGCGGTGCAGCCCCATGGGCAGCGCGCGGGATTCGATCTCCATCAGGCGTCGGTACACTTTGCCGACGATCAGGTCGCGCGTCTCGAGAGACACGGCCTTCATGTCGTCCTCCTCGGAGGGCAGGTCCACGATGTCCTTGTCGAGGTTGCACTGTCGGGCTGTGGCCACGATGGAGGCAACGATGGAAGCGCCGCGCTGCTCGTTATCTCGCAGGCCCTGATAGGACTTCACGAGCTCGCTGAGCTCCTGCAGGCCCTTGTACAGGCCAGCGTTGTCTGCCGGCGGGGTGAGGTAGGAGATGGTGGTGGCGTACGATCGGCGCTTCGCAATGGTAGCCTCGGACGGGTTGTTCGCAGCGTAGTAGTATAAGTTCGGCAGCACAGAGACCAGGCGGTCCGGATAGCAGGAGCCCGACATGCCCACCTGCTTACCAGGCATGAACTCCAGTGAGCCGTGGGTGCCGAAGTGGAGCAGCACATCCGCCTTGAAGACGAACTCCAGGTACGTGTAGAACGCCGAGAAGCCATGGTGCGGCGAGGCGGACTTAGCGAACAACAGCCGCATCGGGTCCCCCTCGTAGCCGAATGTTGGCTGAACGCCCAGGAAGACGTTGCCGAAGCGCTTGCCGTACACGAGCAGGTCTTTGCCGTCCGTGTTGAGGGTGCCTGGAGGTGGGCCCCAATTCTCGTACAGGTCCCTGCTGTACGGGCAGAGGCTCTCGTACTCGTCGCAGCTCATCTTGTATTCGACGTGGAGGTCGGCCATCGAGTACTCCTGCAGAGGGTCCTCCAGAATGGACTTCTGCAGGCCCTCGACGTCGTCGGGGAGCTCATCGATAGTGTACCCCTTTTGTTTAAGCTCTTTCAGCACGGAGAATATACTTCCGAACACATCCAAATACGCCGCGGTGCCGACGTTGCCCTTGTCGGGTGGGAACTGGAAGAGATTGATCGCCACCTTCTTGTCCTTGTTCTCCTTCTTGCGGAGCCTGGCCCAATTCAGGGCGCGCGTCGCCAGGGCGTCGATGCGGTCGGGCATGGGGATCGAGCGCCCACTGGTGCCGTCGCGGCCGGAGAAGATCAGAGGCTCGATCGCGCCGTCGATCTCCGGGAGCGACACCTGCAGCGCAACCTGGACAGGGTGCAGCCCAAGCTGGCTGTTCTGCCACTCGGTGAAGGACTGGAACACCAGAGGCACGCTGACGAGGTACGGGCGGTTGACCTGCTTGAGCACCTCCTTCGCCTTCTTGGCGTCCTGTGAGGCGGGCCCGCCTACTAGGCTGAAGCCTGTGAGGTTCACGAGCACGTCGCAGGCCCCCTCGAACGTCATCGGGTCCAGCAAGTAGTCCTTCACGGGCTGCGAGAAGTCCAGGCCGCCGGTGTACACGCAGGCGATGCGTGCGCCGCGTCGCTCGATCTCCTGGACCATCGCGACGTAGTGTCCGTCGTCTTGGGTTGCGATGTGTGATTTCTGGAGGATGACGCCCACCAGGGGCGCGTCACCAGGGATGTCGGTGAGAGGAAGGTGGACACCGTTGTACCACTCCTTGTACTCACCCATGGTCTGGAAGATCTCTGGTGCTAGCGGGTGCCAGATACCCTGGTCAGGGATCACCACGGGGTCCATCAACTTCTCCTCGTCGATGAAACCTGGGCGGACGCTCTCGACGTACCCAGCCGATATCCGCAACAGCATCGCCTCGAGATTTTCACTGGTGCCGCCGAGCCAATGCTGCAAGGACACGATGAACGTTCGGGCATCCTTCGCCTGGTCACCAGGAAGGAATTTCAACACTTTGGGCAGCGTCCTCACAAGCTTCAGGAGACTGTCCTGGAAAGCACCCCCAGATGGCGACGGCTTGCCCTTCTCAAGGCTCTTCTGGCGGATATCCTTCACCTGCTGTGCGAAGCCGCCCAGTGGCCCGCCGGTGATAGCGGTCAAGTCGAAGGTGCCAAGCTTGTTGAGCTTCATTACCTCGGGCATGGACGGGAAGCACAGGCACGCATCCAGGCGGTCGCGGCGCGGCTGCACGATCTCCACCAGCTTCTCGGCGAGCTCCTGCACGAAGATTAGCGAGCAGACGAAGACGTTGGCGCTGTCAAGGTCGCTCTTCAGCTCCTCCTGCACATCCGGGTCGCGAAGCTCTTCCAGAAGATAGCCAACGCATTCCGCGCACACCCCCTTGTTGGTCTTGTTGATCTGGCGCACCGCGGCGGTCATGGACGCCTGGTATTGCGACTCCAACACGACGTACACGATCTTGACGCAGTCGCGCCCGCCCCTCTGCTCCTCGGTGAGCTCCACGCGCCGTGCGATGGTGTTGGAGCCAGTGTAGCCCCCGAAGCCGCCGCCTCCGAGCCCCGCCAGCTCGTCGCTGCCTGCGTCCTCCGCCACCTTGACGTCCACGGTGGCGACCCGCCGGGCCGACCTCCTCTCCTTGCGGGTGGGGCGGCGGGCGCCAACGACGCCGACCAGCGCCCCGCCCACGCCAGCACACACCGCCGACAGGGCCGCGCCCTCGGCGGCGTCGCCGCGCGGAGGGCTCGCGGGCGCGCCTCGGAGCGAGCCCACGTTGGGGCTCGCGGCGCCCTTGGCCGCCAGACCCTGCGATGGCAGGGCCACGAATGCCCGGGCAGGAGCTGGGGCGACCGACCCCTGCATTCCTCTAAGATGGTGGCGGTAGCAGCCGCCTGGAGACGAAAATGGGCAGGAACGCCCGACTGTCGGCGCCGCAGCGCAACAAGTGATCTCGGCTGATACTGGTTGAGCCAAAACGGCTCTGGAAGGAAGGAGAGTCAACCCAATGTATGCCACCGATGCTACACCACAGCCTGCCGTCCTTCGTAAGTCCACACTACAGGCTCCAAAGTATTTCTCCGAACGCCACACCAAGGCCTCAAAAAATACCGAAAGAGAAATGAAGGCTTCAGCGCCTCACCCTGTCCGCATCAGCGGGCGCGCGGTCCAAACGCCCCGACATTCCACCTGCGGGGGGCTATGGGGTGATCCACTACTCTAATTCGAATTCTCTGAAGGGGAATGGATGGAGCCTGGTTTGGGCAATTGCTTGGGACGTCCTCTAAGTCAGCCTCGTTTGGCCCCTGGTTTGGCCTGGGGTGGCTTGGTTTGGCCTGGTTTGACCGCGCGCCCCAGCTGAGACATCCTCAAGGTTTGCCTGGTTTGGCCCCTGGTTTGGCATTGTTGTTCGCTCAGTTTCGCCTGAGCCGTCCTCAGACTTGTCTTTGCTTGGCCTTGGTTTGGGCTGGTTTGGGCGAGGTTTCGCCCGAAACGTCGTCAGAATTTGCCGGGTGTCGCCCTGATTTGGCCTGGTTTGGGCCCCGTTTCGCCTGAGAGGTTGTCAGACATTGCCTGGTTTGGCACTGGTTTGGCATTGCTTCGGCCCGGTTTCGCGCGAAACATCCTCAGAGTTTGCCTGCTTCTTCCCTCGTTTGGCATGGTTGTAGCCCCAAATCACGAAGCTCGCGGCAAGAAAAAACAGCGAATGTCTGGACAGTTGGGTGACATCCGTTATGGTCGCACGCGGTCTCAACACGCAGTGGGATGTGTTACGTTCCCTTCGACATTGAATGGTCCATTGACACACGTCATGATGGGCGTGTACAAACCCAAATAATGGCACGGAGTCGTGAATACCCGTTGTAGTCCACATGTGGCACGACTGCACTACAAAATGGCGGGCGGCATGGGTGTTGATATTCCCAACGCGCTGTGGATCGACATATGCGTGTGTGTGTGTGTGGCGGCGTGGGGAGAAAACCTTTACGAGGCTGTAGAACTTCGATTCACTGCGGGGAGCGCCCCCTCATGAACGTCCCATGGGCGTGCCATGCAGGCGGGATCTCGTTCTTGAATGGGAGCGATCCTTCACCCATCTGTGTACACATTGGACATACCGAGATGTAAGAACATATCCTTCAAATTACGACCAAACGAGATCACCTCTCCAAAAATATTCCGTCCATCGCTAGAGTACAATTTTTTAGTCTTCAGGTTTCGGATGATGCAGCCGTGGGGAGTCTCAAACCAACACCATGTTGACAAGATGCCGCCCTTCATATGTACAACTTTTCTGTATGATGCTCTAGCAATAAAATGCGAAAGCGTCTCAAGCGAGAGCACCATCTTCCCTACATCCGTTGGTCAACTGGGCACTTACAGACACAACTGCACGGCACCAAAGAGAGATCCACAATGTTGAAAACCAACTGCGCTCCATTCGCATGCCACCTGGCGTTGCACCTTTGCGCGGCCCGCTTCCTGGACGCACTGGAAGCGCCCCCCCTTGCAGCACACCCTGGGGGCTTAGGCCGCAACACGCCGCCACAAGACCTACCTGGTCTGAGGGGGCCGCTTTCCTTTCCTCCTCCTCTGCGGCCGCCGCTCGCCTTCTCCTATTCTCTCTGCCCGTGCGCCTTTAGCTAAAGACGACCGCCCTGGAATCTCCCAACACTGCCGGCGAATCCACAACAAATCTTCGCGCCTGGAATAAATCGGGAGAGTATCCCAACAACGTCGCGCTTGCCTTCAAAATCTCCCACGAAATCTCCGCTGGAGATTTCACGTATATCTTCCATATACTTTCTCTCGGTGCTGAAGAGACGTCTGCACGCCGCAGATGTTCTGTATATTTGCTGGACATGACAAATGGATTTGCCAGAGAGATTTCGATGCCGGAAATCCTCCCGAGAATATTCCTGCACCGCGGCGATGTTCCAGAGATTTCCCTAGACATTTGCATGAAGCCCGGACATGTGGTGAAAGTTTCTTCCGGAATTTGGGCGCCCAAATATTAGTTCTGCATGTTCTGAAACGCCCAAATAAAATTTGGATGTGCGCCCCGACATGTCCCATCTGTTTTTCACCCAGAGGGCCCCGGTCACGCTTGCCATACTGATCCAATCTAAGTCAGGGGGCACCCCCGAGGATCGAAGGTAAACGAAAGGCCAACAACAAATCGACAACAAATAAACACATGAATCTGCCGAGGGAGGACCAGGCAATACCGATATTGCTTCGTCCTGACTCGTTTCTGAAGGCCCTGGGGCCCGAAGACGGACGGCCATCGAGGACCGGAATCGTGGAATGCAGCAGCGGTTAGAAAAAATAGCGACAGCACATCAACGCATGCGGCAATATATGTCGACGTCGTTGGCCAACGTGGGAGGTCGAGCGAAGGCCAGGGAAGACCTGCCAGCCTCGCGCTCGGCGCCCTCGCAATCGCACAGTGGCCTCGGCGCGCTCCCGCGCCGCCTTTCCCCGGGCAGGACGGCGCTCGGGCGCGGGCCGCGGAGCGCGAGGCCCAGCGTCGTCGTCGCCGCCGTCGTCGGCGAGAGCAGCAGCGCCAGCTGTAGCAGCGGGCGCCCCGACGCCCAGCGCAGCCGCGACCGCGGGCCACGCGGCTGCAGCCGCGGACCCCCAGTAGCCCCCCGGCGGCTCCCCAGAAACGACAGGCGCCGCGTGCCACCAGGGCGAGCTGCTGACCGCGGCCCATCTCGGAGGGCGCCTGCGGCTGGCTGCAGGCGCGGCCCTGCGGCGAGGTCGCCACGGCCTTCCCGCGCGGCCTGATGCAGATCGCCCTGCAGAGGCGCTTGCGGGTGCAACTAACGAGCGGAGAGGCCTTCTGCCCTGCCTGCGATGGCGTCTCGGGGACCACGCGCTGGTGTGCCCCTGCCGCGGGGACCGCGTGAACCGGCACAATGCACTCCGCGACGATGCCCTCTTCGCCGCGCAGACAACCGGCTTCCCTGGCGCCGAGCTCGAGCGGCTGGGCTTGCTGCAGCCCCACGAGCGAGGGGAGGGCCCGCCAGGGACGGAGGCCAACGGCGCCGAGCTTGACGAGAGCGGCCAGCACCCAACGGACGTGTACATCCCCCGCTGGCGCAACGGCGCCCCGGCTGCCCTTGACTTCGCGGTCACCTAGGGGTTGCTGGGCGACCCCCTCGCAACCTCGGGAGCCACGCCGGGCGCCGCCGCCGAGCGCTACGAGGAGCAGATGCGCCAGTTCCTCGACACGGCGCGCAGCTGCAGCGCGTCCGGCGCCACCTTCATCCCCATGGTCATGGAGGCGCACGGCGGCGCCTGGGGCAAGGAGGCACGCCGCGCGCTCGCCGTCCTGGCGAAGCGCGCGGCTGACGCCACAGGTGAAGACCCCGCCCTCGCGGCGGCGGAGCACGCCCAGCGACTCTCGCTACTCCTGCGCAAGAAGAATGCGCGGCCAGAGAGGCCGCCTTGGGGCAGGCTCTGCTGCCCGCCCTAGGACCCGACGACGCGACAGAACGGTAACAAGCGCCGCGTGAGCAGCCGCCCTTCTGCCCCCGACATCCCCCGCCCCGCCGTCCTCGCCCCCGCCAGCCCCCGACGACGGCCTCGCCCGCCCCGCCTGATGCCCGGCAAGCCCTGCTGTGACGGCCCTCAGACCCCTGGACCCACGACGACCCCGACGACTCCCCCCACCCACGACCCACGACGACAGCGACGACGACGCCGACGACCCCTGGACCCACGACGACCTTCCGACTGCCGCCGACTCCCTTTGCCCCCTCCCGCCCCCCGCCCGCCCCCAACGTGCGCGCTTGCCTGCTGCTGCCTGTGCCTCTCCCTTCTCCTCCTGCATGTCGGCGTCTCCCCGCCGATTTTGTTCCTATTCCCCCTCGTTCATTGTTCTGCCCGTTCCTCGACCAGAGCTGCCAGCGCGGCCAGCGAGCCCTGCGTCGATTCGAGTTCGGGGCCGACGGGCCTTTGAGCAGGTGGCTTGCTTCGCTCGCCTTGCCGAGCGAACGCGGCAACGGAGGCGAGGCCTTTCGGCCGTCTTCCAGCCTCCGGGCCTGACCAGGAGCGACGATCGCAGGTTCGTTTTCCCCTCGGTCTGGGTCAGGGGCTGCGGCTCGCAGGCCAGAGGGAGTCGAATCAGCACTCAGCATGGTGGTGATCATGGTATCGCGATGTTGATGATGACGATGATGATGGTGGTGATGGTGATGAGTGTGCGAGAAAGAAAGGTGGGAGATTTCCTGCGCGGGGGGGGCAGAGAAAACAAGAACCCCACTTAGAATGTGGGGAAACTGAAGACGCTCAGCATTGGGCTTATGCTCTGCTTGTGGACCCACCCACCCACAAGATAGAAATGCTACCAGGGCAACGACGATTTGATCACGAAAGCGGTTCGCAAGATCTACCATCGTAGCTTGATGGGCTCCCCCAGGCGTCTCGGAGACACGAAGAATACCACGACGATCCGACCGTGGCGGCACTTTAACGTGTGATTTGCACCACACACTGTCAAGCCAAAATGAAGCTTCTACGCCAAGCTCGAAATCACCAGGTCCTCAACTAACCGTGCAGGTCTTCATGCACCCATGTCCCATTCGAATAAATGACGTCAGCGTGCCAGACAACGCAACACAGGAGATGACAAGTGAGTGGTGACTGTTTTGAAAATTGGGCGGCGTGACAGAAGAGGTACGAGGGAACGCGAGAGGCAAGACAGCAGGCATCACGCATACAATGCGAGGCATGCTGTTTTGTTCCGCTTCTTTCTTTCAGACAGGCGCATCGCCATCCTAGCTGGGAGTGAGCCCAGAAAACAAAAAAAGAGCGCTTGCGTTTCGATGATGCTTAACACACATGCCTGATGCTTGAAC